TAAATGTTAAAAATCAACCAAACTTTCCTTATATAGCCATAGAAGGTCTTTCTCAAAGGTCGACCACGTGCGATGGCGCGCGGTTGATAAATCAGAGGCCACAGTAGTTTATCGAGTTCAAATCTGATACAAATATTAAGAAAATACAAAAAATCAAGACAAACAACGATAACTGAGTGTATTGAATGAAACCCCAAAGGAGCGAGACGAGATGCGTCTACATGTTAAGCATCTCTTGCTGTGCATGCATCACTCGCCGTGTGAATCCACAAATTTTCCAAACCGGGAATAATTACAGATTACAGGATTATTCTGGTATCTAATATCTATGATCACAAAAAGATGTTAACAGACACATCGTATCTTTCATCGTATCTGTGTTGTTGAGAATAAAACTTGTGATGTGTCGATTTCAGTTGTTCACGACGCTACGATGAAAAGTAAAAATACTTAAACATACACCGTTAATGATGAATTGTCCATTTTTCAACCAGTAAAACAAAACGATATTTAGTTTGAAAATGAAGCGCGTGTACCACTTATTATCATAATCTGAAAGCTTATACAGTTTGTATATATATATTTGTTCCTATAGATGCACTGTAGTCTCGTTTATATATTCTTAATCTAAGCTTATCCATATTGAGACGATCTCTGACTTGTCCTTATTATGCCACATTATTTTGAATTCTGATGCGAATTATTTGGTAGAGCAAAAAGTAAATACATGTATGTTCTTTTACGTCTATAGTTCAGAAATAATTGACTAGTAGAACAATTTGTAGAGAAAAGGGTTTATTTAATCTTTCGAGTTTTGAATGTTTCAGAAATTTTTGCGCAAATTGTAATTCTTTATTTTCCAATTTGCTATACTTGAACAAGTACCAAACAGAGATTATGATTTTAATTTGAACCCGTGCTGTCCATTTTAAAGGTGTTACACGATTGCTTCGAAATTGGCGTAAATAAGCACAGTAGGATACCGATGATCGAGAGTTGTAAATACCAATCAAGACAAAAAACTCGAATGAACTCCAAACGTTCGAACTAGACCGGTTTGGTCGACCGGATAAGCGTTTCATGCTATTATTGCACCATCGCCATAAAGATTCAGTCAAACATGTCACCAAAAGGAATTTGGCTAAAAAATATAGGCTTTGAAAATATCATTGATGTGACTCCGCTTTGACAACGTTTGTTTGATTTTGCTGTTATCTGAGAGTTCCACACCGCACGTTTATTCCAATATTAGCATACAGGAATGTCATGCTGCAATATACATCGATTTATGCGATTTATTTTTTTCCCGATAAAAAGCTAACGGTGCAAGGTTATTAATCAAAATAAACAGGATTTTGATATTGAAATGTATTCATATTGTTTATATTAATTTACAAATTGCATTGTTAGTTTAAGCCGTATAAATAGAAAACAGATATTCATTAAATGGCATATGACATTTACACCCTAGGGTGTCATAAATTAATAGGACATTACAAACCGCTATCAATATAAGACAAACAGAAATAAAGGATTACAATGCAATTTAACGAAGTAATAAAAATAAATATATTAGGATTATATTGATGGGTTTTGACAAATAAATCACAGGGAGCAATGAATTTGAAATTAGAAAAAAATAGTTTTAACTTTGCTTGAACGCACCAATAATACAAGTGGTAAATAATCTTGGATGAGTTTGTCCTAGTATGAGAACAATAAAAAAAAAATCAAATTCAATGTGCTAATTTTGTATTTTGCAATCTGAAACTACTTTTACTCCCTTTATTCATAATATAGTGCTGTTTTCGTTTTGGTTTTCATTGATAAATTGGTATTAAAGTAATACTTTTCTACAGAGGAATTATCTGTTTTTTGAGATATTGATAATTATCATTTTCAAACAAAGTATAAAAATTGCAGCTAATAATCATAATAAAAAATAAAATAATTTTGATATCTTGAACTTCAAACATAAGTTAATTTTGTAAAAAAAAATATAATGCTCAAAATTGCCATAAATACTTCACAGATAAATAATGAGTTTATGAAGTGAGTTGCAATTAATACCAAAGTGACATAACACATATATCTTTAAAGAAAGTAACATAAAAACTGTTCACTTTACCAAATTTTCATACTTAAATATCTACAAAAAGTGCATTCCTTTATTCGATGATTCGAGTGCCACTGACGAGTCTTATGCAGACGATACGTGCATATAACGTATTTGTGATGAGTTTTTACTCCAAGAAAATACAGAAGAAAATTTTAATTTTCACAGTTGGCCATTTCGACAGTACAAACATGACAAAATCGTACAGAAAAAGATCAACTGTATTTCCTTTCATTTAAGTTGCTTAAATACTTTTTACGGAACGCCTCGCACTATTCAGACCACAAAATATAACAGGTTAAGGTCCCATCTTATCGACTGCAAATTAAACAATTTGAAAATGGTTACAGCGCAACACATGTAAGAGGTATAACAATTATATTGGATGCATATCTTCGACATAATTCAAACTATAAATATATCCTTAGGCAAAATCTAAAAGTTACAAAAAACTCATCAAAGATGCCAGGCTTATACATGTGTACGCCGTTCGTGAGTTTCGTCGTCAAAAGACTCACTTGTGACGCTCGAATCAAAAAAAGGTTTAAAATTATTTTCATTTACCTGTGTTTAAAGTTATTGCTAATGGATGGTATTTTTGTTCGAGCTTATTGTTTTTCTTTAATTGTTTAACATTTCGTACCGATATAACATGTTACTTTTATTATTCTTCCCTTAGTTTATTTATTTTGTATTTACATTGTGTCATAGGTCAAATTTATTTGTTCAGTGTATGTTCAATGGTGTTAATATGTCCTTTGATTGAGTTAAGCTATTTCAGTTGATATTTTATAGTGTGTCTTGGTTTGGTACCATTAAAACGTTTAAACCCGCTGCATTTGTTTGCACCTGTCCTAAGTCAGGAATCTGATGTTCAGTAGTTGTCGTTTGTTGAGGTGGTTCATAAGTGTTTCTCGTTTTTCGTTTTTTATATAGATTAGACCGTTGGTTTTCCCGTTTGAATGGTTTTACACTTGTAATTTTTTGGGGCCCTTTATAGCTTACTGTTCGGTGTGAATCAAGGCTCCGTGTTGAAGACCGTACTGTGACCTATAATGGTTTACTTTTATAAATTTTGACTTGGATGGAGAGTTGTCTCATTGGCACTCATACCACATCTTCTTATATCTATTAAAGGCCAAATAAAGTACGAACTTAATCTCCAAGCACACGATATGAATTACAATGATGATTTTATTATGATTTCATATTGGCTATATTCATACGTTTCATTACATGTAAAGACCACAAAAATGCAAAAAATATTTTGAATAAAAATTATGACGATTATATAACTCTTTTGATAATATCAAGTTATGTAAATATTTAAACTACTTTATAAACATGAACGTATGTATAAACATTTTGTAACATCGTATAAAAAACAAATTCTGATTGAATACCTTTAAATAATATACCCTATAATTTTTACTATAAAGAATAATACTTCATATGATAACATTGATTTATTAGTATACTACATTGCCAAATATGTTTAATTTTACTGAAAGCGGAGAAAACGGATTTTGTTCAGAAAATGAGGGGTCAAATACACAGTGATTTCACAAGCAAGTGTATTTTATCGCGATAATAGTAATCACAATCTCCTTTGCCATTCACCTGCCCAGTAGTCTGCATTTCTGTGTTGACATGAATCATCATTGATATGGAAATGTTAATAAATCAACTTTCTACAAAACTTTGAATTAATTCGAAATAAGGATTTTCTACCCCAGGAATAGATGACCGTAGCTGTATTTGACAAACCTTACGATATTTTGCTCTTCAACATCGTACTTTTGTCACGCTTTTTTTCTGTTTTGATTCGAACGACAAAACTATTGATATGCATTTTAGTTATTTAATTTCAATATAATAATAAACGGGCAATTTGAATGTTTATTATCATTCTTTGAATTAAATAACAAAAATGATATCAAGTAATATCCAATTCTCGTGAGTTGCTAAACCTATATCTCTTTTAATAAAAATTATCTTTGTGTAAAATGGGAAATTCCGCAAAACATTGTACCTATACAGTTTGCTGTCATTAGTCTTTTCCCGGTGTCAAGCATTTACATCAGACATTTGCAAGTTTTTTGTACGCTTTTGACAAAAAGAAAATTTTCAGGTGAAACATGTTAGTGCTTTGTAGATAATTGACGAAATCACAATCCTACTCTGCCAAAAAGGGGGGAAGCTGGGGAGTTATCCATTTAACCTTTGAGAGTCATCCTTAATTATACCGATGTCGCAATTTCGTATCACCTGATAGCATCCTTCGCCTCTTTTATACTAGGATAGGACAACCAATTTGAACGCATTTTTTATATCAGTTATTAATGTCACACTCATTTCAGTGTGATACGAGAAATATATCTCGATGCGGGAAAAACATAACCACAACCGTAATAGAATAATTTCAACCAATACCTTTATACAACTAAGCTAAATTTTGTTCATCAAACTGTTGTTAAGCTTGACATATGGCATCGACACTTGCTGAGACCGGATGTTGACGCCTAGATGTCTTTCGATTACATGTCGTTTAGGTTATGTCTCATAAATGTATCCTTAACATGTCCTTTAAATGAAACATCCGTCTTCTGCTTTCATCATTTATCACCTTTGCATTGTTTATTTTTTGTACCATTGAATTCAATGGACTGCTGTAAGCAAACTATATGACAAATCCAATTTTTAATCGGATACTTTAACATCAATGGATATATATCAGTTACGCTGATCACATGTACTTGTTATTATGTTGTCAAATATGCTCTGTCAGGTAAGGGTTATCAGATAACCAATATTCAAAAGGAAGATGCTTTAAAGTTTATCTTCACGGGGAGAATATTGCATTTTATTTATTAGTTTGCTCTTAGTCATGTATATATTTTGATAGATTTAATCACAATTTCATTTTGAAAATTCTAGTTTGTTTGTGTATCTGAGGCAAATATACATATTGTACTATGATCATTTCAGTGAAAATTTATCAAAGCCAAAATTAATGATTTGGTGAGTTTTTGTAGAACTTATCCAGCTTTATTTTGATATGAACTGTAATTAAATCAATTAAAAGGGGGATGGTTGAGATCTCAACATACGAGTGTAACCGTCTTCCCGCGTTGCACATATTTTATGTGTTCAAAGTTCAATGATTTTTACAGCCCACTATCTTCTCTCTTTTTTTAAACTATAATGTATAGACTGAATTTTTGAACCGAAAAAATGACCAGCAACTGAAGATCAACAGGTAAAGTTTAGTTTATCTTTGTCTTTTTTGTTCATCATTTGAAAATAAGATGTAAAGAAAGAAACTTGGTCCAGCAAAAATGATCAGCAAGACAATATTTCAACCCACATTCTCAAAAATGTGCTATTGAGTTGGAATATTTACTCTTAACATCATGAAATCAAATCTTGAATGATCGGGCCGGGGGTGGTTGTGGTGGTGGGATTGAAGCCAGGGACTTTCTATACTAACGGGACTCGTCTCTATTGATTTTAACTGATTACTAAGCCGCCTGTGTAAAGCTACCACCCAACAATAAACTTAGTTTCGTATCTCTGATATATGATGCTAGTAGTTATTTGCGTATTTCACAGTACATTGTAATTATATAATTATTATTAGTTGTTAATATAAAATCTGATTAATAGCCATTTACGATGACAAAAAATATCAGATTTTGAAAGAATGATGAATTATTAAAATTAGACGTATCGTTTTGAAGAACATACCAATGGTTTACATATCAAACAAGATGGCGGCTACTGAAAATTCAACGAACAAATATCTCAAAGTTCAAAGATCAATATTTAAAAAACGATCCGAGAAATTTTTTGAAAAACAGCATTTTGCAATGAAAAAATGTATAAAATTTCATAAAAACGATTTTTTGTTAAACTTGAACATATAGTTATGAAGAAATCTTCGTAAATGTGAAATGATTTGCTATAAAGTCACGTTAGTATAGAAAGTCCCTGTTGAAGCAGGAAAAAAAATAAGAGATAGAACAATGAAGGTATTATTTTATAGTGCTAAGGGCGAAACTGTACTTAGCTAGGTCTTGGGTCTTCAAATAATCCTAGTACATACTGCTATATTCTCGAAGAGATGATCTGAATAACCATACAAGTACAAGCTAATGCTAACAGATTATTTACTTTAGCACAAAGAAAGGAAGTGACAGATTGTCTGATTAACATAGGAAACTTTGACTTTTGTATTTGTCATTTTTGAAGTAGTTTTGTTGTCTTTGGAAAGGAAACCAACTTTATCAATGACAGATGTCATTTCAATTTGCCCCAAGGGTAAATCGTCCCTAAATAATTAATACTGATTTTCCGTATAAACTTGACTACAATTATTATTTGGACGATACACTTTTCAAATCATACTATAAAGAGAGATTGTAGAAGCTATTTATTGTTAAAATAGTTGTTAATTCAAAATGGCAAAATTCTTTAAAGTTTGTGATATCACGGTACATACACAATAATTGTTTCATCAATTTTTTGAAGGATTTTTTTCAATTTTTTATAATGTTCTTAGTTTTCCGTAAACCAGTGATAAAAGCAGCAGTTGTATAGTAGTGAATGGTCGATTTCGTAGATTGAACAACCTGATATGCCGCTCTTACTGGAGTAGTGATGCGTGACCTATCACTTGTAGTGCGATCTTGAGCTTATGCACTTCAAATTGGGATGTGTTGAATGTTGAATCGTCGGGTGACTTCAGTTTGAGATTTTGATATCCAGTATAATTTAAACACAAAATCTGACCGATCCTGTATGTACCCTTACTCATTCCATGTTGTAAGAAAAAAAATAGTGGTTAATTTTGGTGTTACACAGGCCTTCCCCGTTATTACAAACTTTTTTTGATAGAAACGTTCGTGTGTATTCATAGGGTAAACCGTAGTTTATACAAGACGAACAGTATTAACTTTATATGAGCATAGCTAGGATAAGGGTATATTTCGTTCCGCATGTTGAACTGACTATAAACGTCCCGTTGCAATATCAAAGAATTATACGCTTCACATCTGATATTTAAATGTTAATATACGCCATTAGCTGATGACAATTCAGCAATCTAGTAACTTTAATGTCATTACTATATGGTTCGGCATTTGTTATATAAATTATTACCACACATATTATACATTATAAAACGTAAAATAACAAAAATATTGAACTCCAGGGAAAAGTCAAAACGGTAAGTCCTTTATCAAAGTGCAAAACCAAAAGCTCAAACACATCAAACGAAAGGAAAATACTAGTAACTGTCATATTCCTGACTTGGTACAGGCAGTTCCTTATGTAAGAAAATGGTGGATTAAGGTAGCACTACAGTCAGAATTTTCTGACTCCAACCAACAGTCTTTAAAGATTAATTTCTCCAAAACTACTCAATGGATTTTTAAAATCTTTAACTCATTTTAAAGCTGAAATATAATTCTTTCTTAATCTATAGATAAATTCATTTTTGGTATGATTAATCTCAAAATATAGCTCATTAATTGCCAAAAAAGTGGTCTTCCAACTTGGATGAAAATGGCACATTCAGGTCAAATGGTAGTAAAAATTTGTTTTCATCCCTTTAATCAACCATTCACAATCTACAAAACCGTGTCTCAGATTTTTGATATATGCCTCCAGTAATAAGATATATTATTTTTACTGCTGGATGCCAAACCTCATTTCACCTTTCATCTTTGGAGACCTATAAATTCATTTAGAAACAAATTATCCAAAAACTGGGACACGGTATTGTAGAAAATACTCCCTTCAATCACATATATCAAAGTCAAGCCAAAGGGGGCACCCATTAAGTTTCTATTTTCATTTTTTCCTTACAATTCTCATGAAAAATTGTTCTGAGAAATGACCTTAAAACTGAATTTCCTCTTAAATACCCCTATAAATGCCACATAAATACAAAAATTCCACTGGGAACACCCCAGGAGTATTCTGACACCATTACTTTATCAATAGAACCACACACATTGTGTCTTTGATGCTCTAATGCTGTAAAATTTGCATTTTGTGTGCACTGTATAACACTAACTTGGCATTTGGCGGGAGTTTGACGTCACAGATTTGACCAACATCTGTGATGTAGTAATTAAATAAAGACAAAGCTCCGCCTCTGTCCAGACAGTCTAAGATAAGAGAATAACAGGATTGGCCAGCTGCATCATAATTAATATTTAACATCATTATTCTCACTATAAAGAATAATTTTCATTTGAATTTTAAAAAGAAATATAATATGAACATGATGACTGAAATTAGCTAAAATATTAAAATTGTGCATTAAAAGACATGTCCATAAAAAGATCAAGACCATCCCCTTCTTGAAAATAGACTGTCCAACATGATTTATGAGTTTCATGGAATTAACAAATTTCACATAAACTTAAAATTAGTTAAAATGCCTAAAATTATCTTTAAATGTAGAAGACCAAAGACGAGAAATTTATACAGGCAGTCAGAGGCTTTCAAAGATACTTTCACACTCTTTTCCATATTTTTGTTTTCATTTTGGTAGATTTTTTCCCTTTAAATTTTTTCCTATTCATATCTTTTTCTTTTTCTCTGTTCTATACTTCCATGTTTTATAAATTAGTTTTGTTGCAATGCAATGAGATATTTATCTTGTGGTCAGGGATTAACAGCTGGACACTGGTATCAACAGATGATTGACATATTAGCCCCTCCCAAATGCCTATATATTTAGATTAATTACATGTGCTTTTATTTACATAAGTTCATTATCAATTTACTCCCTGTTGTGATATGATAATGACTTTGGGATTTTTACAAACTGTGCAGAATAATACTTACTTCAAAATATCTTCAAAAAATCATTGTTAGACTGTAGTGCTACCTTAAACCTGGTTTTAAAGCTAGTTAAACCTCTCATATACGAAAGAGCAACTTAAAGAAGTAAAATCAAGCGTATTCATTTGGACAAAGAAAACCATTTTTCGATGAGTTTGTCGTATGTAGAAAACATAAAACATTTTTTTTTAACTTATTGTATGCTTGATTTTATTTCCTTAAGTTGCTCTTAATTGACAAAATACCAGTATATAACTCGTACATCTAATTTTGGAGCACACAATGCATACGATGCATCAATTTCAATTTGGTGACACGTGCATATGTTTAAGGTATTAGAAGGAAACTTTTCTGTTACAAATAACTTAAATAACTGATAATAACAATAATATTCATATTTAGGCTAAAATATAGGATAACATCAATATTATGAAGACTTTAGTTTAGAGTACCAAACATAAATCGGTTAATTCATTTCGCACTACTTAGTATAGACTAATAAATGCTAGAATCAGGGGTGTTTAGCAGATTAAAATAAACGGTCATTATAGATATTTTCTAGTGATTCTCTATTTTGTTTTATAGTATCCACTGACTACTTGGCTACTGAGCTAATGATACCCTCAGAATTTATCAGTCCACCAGTAGAGGTATCGACAGTGGTACTTATATCATTTTATCAATTTTACTGCAATGTGTATTCGACAATTAATGTGTTTTTAGTGAATCTCGAATCCTGAATCCAGAACATAATACAAACGTTGAAGAACTGATAAAACGCAAAAAGGACCAAAGTACACCGCAACCTTTTTGGGTTTTTTTTTTATTGTTTGGGCTTTCACCAGGATGTTGGTTTTCTCTTTTGAATTGTTTCATATTTTGTCATGCTATTGCAAATTATAGTTTACTATACGGTATGGGTTTTGGTCATTGTTGAAGGCCATCCGGTGACCTGTATGGTCCTCATGGGCTCATTGTCAAGCATACCACATCTTCTTAATTTCATTTCACATTTGTTAGAATGTAATAAACCCAGAGGATAACAAAGCATTGACATGTAAAAATAAGGATATCAATAAACTCAAAATTACCAACTGATAGTTAATAGCAGATAAACGAAAGTCAGAAAAGTCGTTCATTACAAATAAATGATAATGGTCAATAACGAAAGATACAATTAAGTATAAATTCAGCTATTAAATTGTCACACCTGAACATCGACATCAAATCGAAAAATATTAATAATAAAATGATTCTCCATTGTACACCGGTGGTCAATTGTCTATTCAAATATTCGCACACATATAATCTGACCATTTTATGTTTATCATGTAATCAAATGTCATTATAACGTACAGATTATAATGACTTACCTAGCATTAGGATTTCCTGAAGAAATGTAAGGCAGAAAAGTTCCGGTAAATTTGATATAGTATCTCGTTATTTTTATAATGGAAATGAAAGCTGGTATATCAGTCAAAATCAAATAGATAGTTTTTGATTTACAATTATAATCAAAGCTGTAAAATACCGAACATAAATCAAATAAATTAATATATATATATATAAATATAGAAGAATCAAATAAAATGAAATCCAAACGCAAGAGCTCAAACGAAAGAAAACCAGATGTGTCATCAAGTTTAGCTTCAGCTGGTATGTAAGTATCAATTAGTGTGATATTATCCCACATAATACCGGAATATTCAATATGAATAATATCATATTAAAAAATTATTTGATCTTACAAATTTTCACTTAACTTTACAGGTATAACGCATTTAGAGATCACTTTATTAATAAGATAATCCATATTTTTGAATTTTAGTGCTAATGTACAAATATTCCATGGATGAACTTTGCACAAATCTAAAAAAAAAACTATATCGCAGACCGTGCCTTGTACTAATTGAAATTCAAATTTATCTATATTGAGATTCGTATGACATGCATATACAAAAGGGGACCTAGATGATGGTCATATATCTATTGACACATTGTCGGAAATGAACAATATATCTCCATGTATTGATTTTGTTGTTCCTTTCTGTTAATTAATGGTGATATATAGGTAAATTATCAACGTAATGAGCTGCTAAATTGAACGGATAAATCTTAATGGTTTCACGTAGTAATTAAAATTCGCTTTATATAGAAGCAAACAATGATTATAGTAATATTGGTTTGACATTTATATCTTTCATTGTACAATACTGACACCTTAGTTAACCAGCTTATATTCAATATTTCAGTTCTTCGTCATAAAAAGGAAAAGTGGTCGGATTTTTCACGATTTTTTCCAAGGAACAACAAAAATCACACAAATACATATTTAAAGGATAAGAACATAGCGAATAAGCAAACAGGTGCTTGACGAAGAAACGAGATGTTCACTTTCCTTTAGGCGACAATTACATAATTTGAAATTATTAGTTTCTATTAAGATGTATCGGACTACAGTTGCATGGTCGCCTTATGCTTAAATGTTTCCACTCAACAATAAAAAAAACATGAATGCTATGTATGATTTTTGCTACGTCAATAGATAGTTTCTCACATAGCAAAATTTAATCTTTCAGCAATATTGGTTAATTGCGCAAATATTCTGTACGTTCAGATATTGATTCAACATGTTTTTTTCAATTTTTAATGATATGAAATACAAATAGCTTATGACGGTATGTTTAAACAGTAAAGGAGACGTGTGACATTTGCAGCATTTGCATTTAACTTTTTGGAAGCAATCACTAATAAATATATAGCCTTACAACAAGTATTTGCTTAATTTTTCCTTGAGGAAAACTATCTATTACAACTGTTTGTTAATTTAAATATTTGTTTACAATTTCACAGCTACTTTGAAACTTTTCTCTAGAATTTCACATCGATCAAACCTAATGTGGTGGTTCCTGTAAAACACTCTTCATTTTGGTATCTTTTGCCTATCTTTTATGAAATGCAAAAGGAGATCTCTTTTTTATAGATTTATATCATTCGTTTGATGTGTTTATGATTTTGATTTTGCCATTTAATAAAAGGACTTTCCGTTTTGAATAATCCTTGGAGTTCAATATTTTTGTTATTTTACTTTTTATGTCAGTGTCACATAATTGGATTAAATCAAACTTGTTAGAACTATATAGCGTGTCTCTTAAAGCTAATTCGATATATCAAACATATTCCACGAAATCAGCATATAACAAAGTCAAAGGACAAGTTATCATACCGAACTATATATAATTGTGTACGCAAGACGCGCGTTTCGTCTTCACAATACTCATCAGTAATTCTCGAATTAAAATAGTCTAAAGGTCAATGCAAGTACGAAGTTGAAGAACATTGATGACTCAAGATTCCAAAAAGTTTTACCAAGTACGGCTTACGGAATATATACCTGCGGTAGAAAATATTTTTTATAATGGATTTTTGGTCCTCAATGCTCTTCGGCTTCGTAATTTATTTGGCCTTTTTTAACTTTTTTGACTCGAGCGTCATTGATGAGTCTTTTGTAGACGAAATGCGCGTCTGGCGTACAAAACTTCGATCCTTGTATCTATGATGGGTTTATTTAAAACATTTAAACAAATTCAAAGATTTGTGAACAATAAATTTATATAAAAAGAAAATATGACCGATCAATGATATTTCATGTCAACACAGAAGTGCTGACTACTGGGCTGGTGATATCCTCGTGGACGAAACATCCACCAGCAGTTGCTTTGACCCAGTGGTTGAAACAACTCATTAAAGAAATGAGGCTTAAGATTTTGTAACTAAATGTGCAAGAGGATGATCTGTTCTGTGGGTTATACTTTACGTTTAGAAACGTTTAACAATTTAAATAAAGAAATCCAAACGAGTTATTTGTGTAGCCTAATTCTTGGAGTAGAGGCATGCCAGTGATGAGTTGCAATGTGTATTCACTTTTCGGATCTCTCAGCCACCCACTTCCTGTTTTCAGTTACTATCAATAACGAGTGAGGGTATGTTTAGCACGACAACGCGTGCTTTCTTGTTTATCATTATAAAGCCGGAAATTATATCAAATTCTGAACTGTAAAACAAAAGTTTGTACGGATGAAGTGACAACAGAATTGCGGGAAACAAAGCAAATTTTCCCCAATATGTTTTAAAGTAAGGCAAAAGCAGTCAATTCAAGAATAGAAGGAGGACGTAGACGGAAACCTAATATATTCCTTAGCACAAAAAACCTTAAAAATGTAGTCGTTTAGCATTTACATTCCTGGATATTACTTATCACATGCATTATTCAATTACCATTTTGAATGTAGGTTCTTTATGAGTAGTATTGCAACTTTATCTACTGATCAGATTTTTATATATATTCAAAACGCGAAAAAGTTTGAAATTTTTTTTTTTTACATTAAGATGTGTCTGATCCTTTCTTGATTTGGCATATCTAGAATCGTGTAGTCTCGATTTATTTTCATTGAATGTTTTAACTAAACCAAATTAATTTTTATCAGTTTGCGTGCATATCCTATTTTTTAATCTAGAATGAAATGGTTGAGATATTACAGAAAACTGAAGGGAAATATCTCTCCAAAATGTCTTTAAAAAATGACCGAGAATTTTCTAAGCAAATGCTATCTTCTTCACCGATAGGATTTGTTTTGTATAAGATGCAACATTGGTTTATACTTGAAATTAGAATAAGAAGGAAACAGCAATAAAATTTCAACGGAACCAAGGTGTGAGGTTCATTCTGACAGAATATTTGTGTTTATATATATATATTAAAAATCTTAAAATTCTGTCGCAATTAGCTTCGTGACATTCATCACCTTGGTATAACAAATTTTTAACATGTTATACTTTATCATTTAAAAAACAAAAACTAAAACAAACTAACTAAGAGTCATTTGGTCTTTGCTGGAGCGTTATCTCAGAGGCAGTCATACCACATCACCTTATTTTATTCGGTACGTGGCAGTGTAAAAATCACGCATCACTTTCCACAATATTTCGTAATAATTCATAAAAAATATGTAGATAAAAATCAATGAGACCTTGCATATGTTTCACTTTTCACTTATAATACATCATGTATATATTGACGATTAAATGTCATTTTAATGTATGTTTCAACAGCTGTAACTGCTCAAAGCAATTTACACTAGATCATTACATATTTGTACATTTTTATTTACTTTGCTGTTTAGATAAAACAACTCTTCATTTATGTTAGTATATTTTGAAAACAGAAATGCGCAATATATGCATATGCACACAATAACACATTCAAAGACATATGCATATACATTCAAATATACATACACGTACGCACGCACACAAACACACACATACGCGTTTAAACATACAGACAAACATTTTTAGTTTTAAATGGTTCGTATAACCCAAAGCTTAATTTTAATGTTTGTGTTCTCTTTTCTTGTTCTTCTTGTTTATCCGTACACCTGATTTGCTGATTTTGATTGTTCTTTCTCTTGTATTTGTCCTTAAGATTTAATTTTTTTCTGATTCCCTCTTAACAATCGTTTATCGATATCTTATATATCTGTTGGTGTCAAAAGACAAATTCATCGACCTCTTTAGAAAATATATTAGTTGAAATACAAATTCGAAGAATAAAGAATGTATTTAAAATCATAGTAAACATTCTCAATAAAATTTAAATAGGTAGATTTTAAACGCAAATAGTCAGTGACACATTTTATAATTATTTAAAAATGTCTCAGTTTAAATATAACTATTTATATTAGATGCGGGTTATTGTTAAAAGATAAAATGGCCTACCGTCATCACTATCATGATGTGGAACAATTGGCACCAAACTCTGAGCTCTTTTCCTCTCTAACACAGCCGGTGGTACCCAAAATTTTTCACTAACATCTCTTGTAGGAGAACTCGGGCTTGAGCCCATTTTCCGTGAGACCGGCATCCATTCAGTTTTAAAATGAACCCTTGAATATCTTCTTTCTTTACCTACACCTATAGCTGACAAAACGTTAGTCACAGATGCTTTCTGTGGTAATTTAATATTCTTTGGTTCACTTAACTTTTTATCACTTGATTTTTCTTCCAATAGAAATCTTTCATACCAGTTGAGACGGAAGCGTTTTGAACATGTGACGTACAGCAACAGTAACAGTAGAATCAAGATCGTAGTCGGAACGACTATGTATGCTACAATTAAATAATCCGGTTGTCGCTCAGCACGACTCATTGCCACATCAATCGATTAATAGTATTAGCCTTATATCAGATCGAATTTACTGTTAGAAGTGTTGATTTTTCTTCATTTCAGTTTAATTCGCAATAATTCATCATCAACAGATATATAATCTGAAAAATATAATAAAGCAATTATTTAAATGGCTATCAATAGGATTAACATATGATAAAATGTTTAAAATGTCAATTAGTCCACCTAGTGATAACTAGGTTCTCATTAGATTGTTTTAAAATAAAAATCTTTTATGAATTATTTTGTGGCGTTCAATTTTTTTTATTTTCCCTTATTTCATTTAATTGTATGGTATTGTTTGCGTTAATGTATTTTCTAAAATAGTTTAAAACAATAATGGAAGGTAACAATAGATCTCGATAAATAAATTATTATAATAGACAAAACAAGAACAGTAATACAATTGTCCTTGTAATTTTATTTTTGGAAAATAAAAGAACTCGAGAAATTCTAGAGATTGATTACCAAAATGAAACAATCTTTGGGACAAATAAGAAGTTTTATTGAAGTATCAGTTCTCTGACAGCTAAGATTGACTGTCACTCAACAACAATAATGAAATCAGGACATCCTTTTATATAATATATTTGTATGAATAGATTTTGAATTAGATTCAGCTTCCTGATTGATGTTAGTATTGTGTAACTTTTCCAAAATAACTGAAGTTGTACTACCGTATTCTGATGCTGTCATCAAAGACCGAAGACAAGACAAAGCTTTATCAACAGTATAAACAGATGATGTATTGTCAATAAATTAAGTCTAACAGACAAGACGATGTTTTAGCTTGTATTTCCATCTATTGAAGAGAGCATTTGATCATGCTAATATGTTTACTTTAAACATTAATTATGAAGTTGAACATACAAACTTCCATCTAATGTATTGAATTATTAAGGTATAGTTGTATTAAAAGTTATTCGCTTCATTGCAGATTAAGTGAGACTCGTGTAAGAATAAATTTGAGAAAATCAAATGAATTTACTTAATTGTTTTCATTTTGAAACTTTGGTCTGGTCATCGTTATCAAAATTCTTGTAATAATCGGATTGTCACTTTACCTAAAAGAAATACAAAAATACAAACTTTCTAAATATACCTTTAAGCCTAACACTTTGTAAAATGATATGCATTTTTAATGTGTTTAATTCAGATTCTGTACTATTTTCATCAATAGTTACATAACTTAAGTACTCAGATAATTAATCAAATAATCAGTTCACTTCACAATGACTGACAGACCTTTTACTGTAATATGACTTTTTAATAAAATATACTTTAAAAAGACAATCTGTTAAATAGAACGTTACAAAAACAAATATATATTCAACATAATTCTTTCAGCATATTTTTTTTACAAAAAAGAAATATGATCTTTAGAATCATTATAAAGGTAAACGGTGGGGCTCTTTTCACAAAATCATAAAAATTGATCCATTTTGAACAGTGATGGTCATCACGGAAACAATTCATATTCGCCCTGTATTTCTAATTTTACAAAAGAGTTAAAGATATCTCAATAATTTTACCTTGATATCAATTATCTTGCGTTGTATCGAATACAATTCAATTTTAAAAAAATGGGGTAGGAAGAAAAAATCTGTAATCGAAAACAAGTATTTCTATTCAAAACATTATTTTCATTTAAAAAAAAGGCAGGAATAAGCTCGTTATTAAGTGGAAATATAAGCAAAAATCATTAATGATAACGGAATCAATTCTAGTCATGAAGACAAGGAACAATCAAACACAATTAGGACAACTCACTGTTCAATTTATTTACATCCTATAAACTAATCACTTTCTTTATCCATAGTTTGTTATAATGCCTTTTCTATTAAGCTCATAAAATTTAAAGCACTCAATTCAAATGAACATCATTGACATCAAAACTGTATCAGTAAGACCTTGCATTTGATTATCCACATCCAGTCGAACTCATGATAAAATAATAGGAGAAAAAAGCAAAATACAATATCATTTTACCAACAATTAAAAAAAAGGGACAGCTTTCATCATGAATATCTGCGACATATTTCTTATTTGGTAGGTAGCAATGTATACTGTCAAACATTGTTTCGTTTTAAGTCTATGAAAATTTTGTAAAATAAGAAAAACATAAGGAAAGGGAAGAAACCTGACCTATAAATATTGATTTCAGAGAGGATAAATGAAACAAGTAGGATTTTCAAAAAGGAAAAAGATGATCTACAGTTGTTTACATCCTGGTCCTTTGGTCTCTGGTGGATAAATGTCTGATTGGCAAAGTTAACATATTAAATATTATCTTTTCATTTTTATATGCAATATAATTCTAGATATAGAGTTTTATACCAAAGGAAAATAGCACTTTAAATATAAACGAATAACCATCATAATATAATACTAAGACCAAACTAAGTCCAAACTTTATAAAGTCAAATAAATATCCAAAACTGTCTAAGGTCAGTTCATACTAAGGCAATTTTAATCATGGTTATTCGTTTATATTCAAACTATTAATTCCCTAATGTCAGTAAACATGGATTGGCTGGTTTTCATTTGGGCAGCTCCATCGGTTTCCGTGGAATAAATTGCAGGACCATTCATCAAAGTCTAATTTTAAATAAGCTGTTTCTGATGACAAAATGAGAGTAAAGCTTATTTTTGGAGTTTTGATATTTTGCCTTTAGGTATGAACCATGATTGATTGAAAAGAGGGGCGTGATTTTGTTTCAATGCGAGTGTTCAGCCAATCCTTATCAAATTCTGATATGTTGTTTTTGATGACAAAATTGAGATTAAATTTTATATTAAATTTTTTATCTTTGCATTTCAGGAGTTATGGCCCTCAATTGAATGAAAAATGCAGCTATATGTAGTGTCCGTGCAATAACAAGAGAACTGTTCAACCAGTTATTTTGAAATATATTAAATGCTTTTTCGGATGATAAAATGGAGATCTAGTTAGATTTTCGCAATGCTGTTCATGCGTTACGCTCTTGATTACTTTATCAATGACAGTAATAACAAAAACTAATTCCGATATAATGTCATTTTGATAGACTTTTGTAAATCAACAAATTTGATGAACTTTTGCAATGTATGTTTCTCATGAATGGTGATCGAAACCAAATATAGGTTATTCGAGAGAATAAATCATTTATTAGGCATTTAATATCTTTTATTAGTTGAAAATATCACAATTATCAAAATTAATAATACAACGCCATGATTATATTAACATGGATGACATTATGACAAATTATTTGTGTTTATTAACTGAAACTGATTTTTCTATGATATTATCCGCTAACCAGTTATCTCGAATTGATACCAAACTTTTGAGTTTGCTAGATTTTACATATTTTCTCATGCTCAATTGAAAGATCGACTTCCTTTTCCCATTTAAAAGTGCTCTGTTCCAAAAATGGGTATTGATTGCAAGCTAATTTGTGGAGTTAGGTAATTGATATTTCAACAAACAGTATGGAATTCAAATGATACTAATTGTACAGTCCTACTTGCTGACTTAATTTGTAATCACTTGAAGCATAGTTCATACAAAACCTCCTTAAGGACCAAAAAATCTTGCTAATTTTCCACAATTTCATGTTAAAATATTTTGATGATATATATACCCCTGATTCCAACGAGCGCTTGTATCTTAAATATTCCACTGAACGTGACATAAAGGATACCATTGAAAGGGGTAGCTTTGCCTTTGCCCTCTGCCCCATCGTATGGCGTGCATATACTTCAGTTAATGCGTGCATGTTTACATGCTACAGACTTCATTAACAGGGGTGTGTTTAAACAGTATCAGCAAAGTTATGAGGAAGAGGGACTGAGAACGATCACTATCACAAATGACATAAAAAACGTTTTTATACCCAGCTCACTTTAGACATGTTTTTGTGATCTTAAGACCCAAAAATATTCGCCTGATCTGTTATACCTTTCTTAAATTGGCCGTTTATAAATTTATAAGTCATTAAGAAACTAAGGTGTCAGCTCCTTCAGGCAAAGTTGATCTTAGATAGATTTGACTATTATTTTTATGCTAACTCGGCTGTGTACTTTTAAGTGTTGGATTAAGTTGTTCTATGTAATGTATCCGTTTTTATTCTGTAGTTAGTCCCCACTTCGGTTTTATCATGTATATCTATTATATAGTCATTTTACAAAATTTACTGTTTGCAAAATTGTAAATTATTCTAAATAATAAGGATGTTCTTGTCCCAGGCAGAAAACCCTGGCCGTGTTAGGCACAACTTTTTGGAAGTTTTGGTCCTCGGTGCTTTTCAGCTTTGTACTTGTTTTGGCTTTCAAACTTTTTTCATCTGAGCGTCACTGGTTGGTCTTGTGTGGACGAGACGCACGTCTGGCGTATTGAATTTTAAGCCTAGTACCTTTTGTTAGCTATTATTCGTGTGTTTCTTTGTCCTATATGTTCTCCCATTTATTTGTATTGTGGTCCTGTCATGTGATGTTGTCGTTTTGGTGTTGTGTTTGACGTTGCTATAAAAGCAGGAGGTTTGGCATGCCACAAAACCAGGTTCAACCCACCATTTTTTTCTTTAAATGTCCTGTACCAAATCAGGAAAATGACCATTGTTATATTATAGTTCGTTTCTGTGTGTGTTACATTTTAATGTTGTGTTTTTGTTGTGTCATTGTTCTCCTGTTATATTTGATGCGTTTCCCTCAGTTTTAATTTGTAACCCGGATTTGTTTTTATCTCTATCGATTTATGAGTTTCGAACAGCGGTATACTACTGTTGTCTTTATTTATGTCCTTTTTGGTCATAAAGCTCTTCAACTGTTTTGGTTCGTTTACATACTTTGCTTTCAATTATTCGGCTTTGAGCGTTCATGATAAAAGAATAAAACAGATGAGAAAGGTTTAATCTATAATCATAGACAGATCTTTAGATTTTCTCTCGTTCATCTTTTTCGTTGAACGCAATTCAATTGATTCTTATTTATAGTGTAGAAAATGGTGTAAAAATGGTGGATTAAAAATTGTTTTATAGCTAATTAAACCTCTCACTTGTATGACAGTCGCATACAATTCCATTATATTGACAATAATGTGTGAGCAAAACAAACAGACATGGTAGGTGAAAATGTCAAAAAATGTGGAACAGCAGTCAACATTGTGTTCTAATCTAAATCACTATAAAAGCAAATAACTATTTCAACAAAGAAAAAAAAATAGCATATAGACACTCTATAGACAAAGTACATAAGCAAAAATGAAAGACAAGAATACAAAAATGACAATAGCACAATAACACAATGGCGGGATGTAACGAGCCACGCCAGAAGTATATACAAAAAATGGACTAAAGGGTAAAGGTTAAAAATATACAAAGACAACTAAAAAGAACACTATAACACGTAATTAAGATGATAATGAACATCAGTACCTAGAATCTATACTTCAATGTATTATTTGTGAAGTTGATACGGAATATTTATCAACAAGGTCTTGGTATTTTCCGATGAACTTTTTTATAAAAAGGATGAGACGTTCTTTGACATAACCCTGGTTTATTTTATATACTTGGTTAAACACACAATTTTGAAACACATATTTTAACAGAAAATCCCACTGTTTACATACATGTAGGTACAACTAATTCCATCTTTGATGAATACAATTCAACACATTTATTTTGTGTTAATAAGATAAAGATCAGATTATCTATTCTAATTTGTAGGTCACACTTTGCGCTACATTCAGAATTTGTGGTATTTTAGGCAAATTTTGAATTCTTGTTTTGTTATTAAAAAAAAATGTGAAATATTGACCGTGGATTCGCACTATAGGTGATAGAAGTATAAAGGAAACCATTAACCCTGTCTCGCTCTAATTTGAGTCCAAGCGATTCCCTCAGCTTAATGTGCCTTCTAAATCGATTTATGAGATTTGAACATAGATAAACTACTGCTGCCTTTATTGATGCAAGCGCGACAACTGCGATTTGCAGCGTTAATTTTATTGGAATATTTTACTTATTATTTTATTTTTGAACAACAACAAATAAAGAGACTTCATTTCTCCCTTGTATTTTTGTTTGGAACATTTGACTCTCCGTAATAACTGACATTTGGTATTGACAATTCACTTGGAAAACCAACATATACTTATATGGGGTAGGGTTCGGTTCCCTCTCTCATGTTTAACCCTACTTCATTCTCTATGGACTTGTTCCAAGTCAGGAATCTCCTTATTTCTATATTCAGAGTAACTGTTGATTTTACTATTCTAGGGGCGGTGTGAATCAGATGTTGATTCTAAAAAATCCAAAGAGTGCATACAATCTATATCTAATCTTTTTTGATTATATCATTGAAAAGAAAAAAGAGGCGAGAGATACCAAGGGGACATTAAAAACTTATAGATTGTAGAAAAATGGCAATGATTCATTGCATAAAAAAAGGAATATAACGAAAAAATCGAATGAGTCAACAAAACACTAAATAGATAACTAAATACCCAACAAAACCTGGGTGAACGTATGTTGTCCGGAAGTGTTGATCATGTTTATACAGATCCACCCAGTGATAAGTCTCGTTCGATGATGTCACAATCGAGGGGGAGAGGACGGGAGTGTGGTTTCGACAATCGGAATATCCATGGTCATCTGTGATACAAATATTCAATAACGTTCAACCAACGCGTAATGACGTCCGTTAACTTTTAAACGGATGTATTTAACTTCAAAAAATTTCTGCATTTAACATACATATTAAAAATTGAAAAGAACACTCTAATCATGCGTCCGAAGCGCTTTTCTGGATTTATTTTCATTATGAACGATCAAAGCCGGACATTTGAAAGCCAAGGAATCATAAGAACCGAAACAGTTGAAGAGCTATACTAATTTAAAATAGAACATCTCCACACTTGTTATCTCTAACATCAGTTGCATAATAAAAGTAATGATATCAACTCAATGAAGGTTAAGGATTTCGTTTACACCAATCTATAACAATAAAATTGAGAATAGAAACAGGGAATATTTCAAAGAGACAACAACCTGACCGAAGAGCAGAAAACAGCCCAAGGCCACCAATTGGTCTTCAACACCGCGAGAAAATCCCTCACCCGGAGGCAGGCTCCAGTTAGCCCCTAAATAATAATAATAGTTCAGTGAAATTGACGTCATACTTAACTCCGAAACATATTAATGAACCAAACTTTTTTAAAAAGACTAACAAAGACCAGAGTTTCCTGACTTCGGACAGGCGCAAAAATGAGGCAGGGTCAAGCATGTTTTGTGATATTTCAACCCTCCTCCTATACCTCTAGCCAAGTAGTCAAACAATGTGTGAAAAAAAATTGTAAGGGGTTCCACGGAACACTGTGTCTCACCTGTGATTGCTGTTGTCAGTGTAAAAGTGTCATGTTAACCTAAAAAATGAGTCCAGTCATCAGAAAAATACAGAATTTTTAAAAAAAAAACTAAATTACTTGGTCTTGAAGATTAGCGTCTGTCCAAGTTTCATATCAATCCATGAAGGTTTATAAATTTATCATGTCAAAAAAATTCAATCCCAGACTCTCTGTAAATGTTAACGTTAACAACCTGTCTATCAGAAAAATACTAAAAATGAAAAAATTATTTTCAAAAGTTTACTTCAGACTTTATCTCTTAATCATAAAAATATACTGCCAAAGTTTCATAAAAATCCAATGAAGGTTTTACAAAGTAATTGATGAATAACAAAATTTAACCCCAGACTGTATCCACTTGTAAACTGTAAACGTCCATTTATTAGTAAAATACGGAAAAATTAAAATAAATATTTTCAAAATTAAGCTCTGGATACTGTATTTTGGTCATGAACAAGCTTCTGTCCAAATTTCATAAAATTCCACGCGAAGGTTTGACAATGTTATTGATGACTGAAAAACTTTAACCTCAGACTAAATCTAAATGTTAACTGTAAAATAAACTAAGACCATTTATCAGT